AACTTTTGTGCACGGCGAGAGATAGGGATTCAGATTCATTTTGGTGCAAATGGATTTCCAGTTTTCCCAGCACCATTTGTTGAAGATGCTATCCTTCCTCCATTGCATGCTTTTAGCCCCTTTATCAAAAATAAGATAGTAACATCAGTGCACTTTGGGAATAGATATTTTTATTATCCTCAACTGAGACACGGAGAAGTAACTTGTTTAAAGCCACACAACTTTTAAGTGGTAGAATTGGGATTTGGTTCACGTCTTTGTGTGTGTGTGTGTGTGTGTSTGTGTGGTGCAGAGGATTGAACCCAGGCCTTGCACATGCTATACAAGCATTCTGCCACTGAGCTACATCCCCAACCCTGGCTCCATTCTTCACCATTTCCATAGAATGCTAGTTCAGATAATATTTATAACATTGCCACAATAGGAATCTTGTACTCAAATAAGTTGACAAATGCATTATCTAAATCTTGAAGATGTGTGGTACAGAATCTGTGACATTTAGCACTTAGGTAAGTATTTAACTTTGTAAAAGCCAGCCATTTCCAAACTGACTCCCAGAGTACTCTACTCCCCTTGCCTCCCCAAACACAGCACCTTTTAACCTCTCATTGATAGGACCAGAATTCAGTGGAAAGTGCTTATTATAAAGTTTGTGGAAGATAGAATATGTTTTTGGAGAATTTATATTTTAAACATAGTCCTAGAATGTTAGAGGTAGAGGGATCTTAGTTTGCACCCAGCCAGTGCTTGCTCTTCAGAGGTGAGGTGGCTGAGACGCCATGTGTGCAGGTGACAGTGACATATTCTTAGTGGCAGAAATGGACCCAACCTAGAGCTAAGGATGGCATTTGATGCTCAGTAAATATTTGCTGAATCAATAAATATATCTTCTAAATCTGTCAAGTTTTCTTTTTAGTATATATGTTAGAATTTTTGTTTATTTTCAGATTATATTGGTCCATAGTGAGTCTTTTAATACTTTATGTTAACTTTTGGTACCATTATCTAGTTAAATTTTTAAAAAAGTTTTATTGTAATGTAAAACATAAAATTGTACAAAATGTAGCTATGCCACTTAACAAGTAAATTATAAAGTGCTCGGTGGTTTAATCACCCAGGCCAAGATATAGAACTTTACTGGTACATCAGAAGCCCCATGGGACCTGTCCTGTTGTGAGCCCCTTAATTATTTCTCTCTCTCTCTCTGTCTTTCTTTTTAGCTAATTTAACAGGACATGCAGAGAAGGTTGGAATTGAAAATTTTGAGCTCCTGAAGGTTCTAGGAACTGGAGGTAAGTTGTAAGTTTATTCCTTTTTTTCTTAATTAAGGAAAAAGAACACTTGTTATCCCTATAACCAGAATTGATATCCCCAGTGCAGAAGTCAATGAAAATTTTAGAAGCTTGTGGAATCCAATAGGACGAGGATTACAAACAAATCATTCACAAAAGAAATAAAAAGGCAAAAATTCTAAGAATTAAAGAATATTTTCCCTTGCTGTTGTGAATATAAATTAATTCAACCTCAGAAAGAATACACTAACACTTTTAGACATCCAGCTATTCTGTGAAATGCTTTATATTGATTGACTCATTTAGTCTTCCCTCAGTGCTACTGATACTCAACATACATCATTTGTAGTAATGAAAAACCCAAATCCCTTCAGAAACCCAACAGTAAGGGTTTGGATAAATGGAACATGGACCTGTCAGCTATATAATAGGATTGAAATTGTCTGTATTTATTTACATTTTGGAAAGCTCTCCAAAAAGTCATAAGTTGAAAAATAGGCTACCAAAGAGAATACACAATATCCAATTTCCATAATTAAATAACTATGTGAATAAATGTCTGTGTATATTTATATATGTAGGAAAATCTTGGGATAAAAACCAAAATGGTAGCAGTGGTGATCTCTGGGTGGTAATGTGTTGATGAGTTTCTGCTTTACATGTGCCCATGCCTACCTCTGCTCTGCTACTTGGGAGTCAGGGCTGGCCTTGGAGCTAGCCAGTCTGTGTGGTTGAAGAGATCCCCATCTCTTTTTTTGATGTTGCAATATTTATTATAGAAAAATAGGGACTGCAAGTGTAAAAGTATGTTTATGGTACAATAAAAAGAGAGAGATACAATATCAAATCTAACAAAGAACTATAACAATTATATAATTATCAGAATATAGACATATATAGAAATAGGAGCCATGTGCTGCTGAGAAGAAAATGTATTCTCTCGTTGAAGGAATGTTCATCATCAATAGCAATTAGAGAAATGCAAATCAAAACCACTCTAAGATTTCATCTCACTCCAGTAAGAATGGCAGCTATTATGAAGATAGACAACAATAAGTGTTGGCGAGGATGTGGGGGAAAAGGTACACTCATACACTGCTTATGGGACTACAAATTGGTGCAGCCAATATGGAAAGCAGTATGGAGATTCCTTGGAAAATTGGGAATGGAACCTCCGTTTGACCCAGCTATCCCTCTCCTAGGTCTATACCCAAAGGACTTAAAAACAGCATACTACAGGGACACAGCCACATCAATGTTTATAGCAGCACAATTCACAATAGCTAAACTCTGGAACCAACCTAGATGCCCTTCAATAGATGAATGGATTAAAAAAATCTTGCATATATACACAATGGAATATTACTCAGCAATAAAAGAGAATAAAATCATGGCATTTGCAGGTAAATGGATGGAGTTACAGAAGATAATGCTAAGTGAAGTTAGTCAATCCCAAAAAACCAAATGCCAAATGTTTTCTTTGATATAAGGAGGCTGATTCATAGTGGGATAGGGAGAGGGAGCATGTGAGGAATAGACGAACTCTAGATAGGGCAGAGTGGTTTGAGGGGAAGAGAGGGGGCATGGGGTTATTAATGGTGGTGGAATGTCAGGATCATTATTATCCAAAATACAGGTATGATGACATGAATTGGTATGAATATACTCTGTATACAACCTGAGATATGAAAAATTGTGCTGTATATGTGTAATGAGAATTGTAATGCATTCCACTGCTATATATAAATAAAAAAGTTTTGTTCATCAGAAAGACATAATATCCACTATGTATGGACTTATAATTAGTTGAAAGTCTTTAAATAAAGTATTCCATGAATAGATCATAAAAAAAAATAAGATTAGCATCACTGCCCTGATAGGTGGACTGCAGTTGTCCTTTGAGGGTATGGTCTATACCTTCCAAAATGCCAAACCTTGCAGCAGGAAAAAAAGGCTTTTTCCTAGGCTTCCACTGTCAGTCCCAGCCATTGCTCTAGCCTCCCATGCACAGGTTTAAATTCACCTGTCTTTCGGTTACTTAATAATGAGCTTTCATGGCTAGGGTTTTGCCATCCTCAGTCTTCGTGAACCTCCTGAGTAGTTAGTATATTATGTAGAGTCAGCTTTACAGTTACCATGAATGAACCCTATAATAAGCACCTTGTTAGAAAGAGTTTAGCATAACTGTCAACTTGGAGATTTTTCTAGTGCATTCTGACCTTTGGATCATTCATAAAGGTGGATTTCAAAAACAAAATTAAACAAATGTAAAGCAACCATACAGCAGTGGTGGTGCACACCTATAATCCCAGCTATTTGAAAGGCTGGGCAGAGGATCCTAGGTTTGCAGCCTGCCTGGGCAACTTAGTGAGACCCTGACTCAAAATGAAACCTTTAAAAAGGCCTAGGACGTAGCTCAGTGTAGAGAGCTTGCCTAGTTGGGATAAAGCCTGGGTTCAAACCCTAGTACTGCAAAAAACAACAAAGCAACAATAACAACCAAAAAACCCAAGTAGCCCCACCATACCATAGACCTAAGAAGTAATGAATTCAAATAATGACAAAATAATGTCTTTCATCTCTACCTTTGTTTTCTATTTTCAAAGGCAGCATCTTCTCCCAGGGTAAAGAGAGTTACAGAATCATGGTTTCTTGTTTCCCTTAAGAATAGTGTTTGTGATAACTTGTCAGAAGCTTTACCTGCCAATTTAAATGCACAGAATGTGTTTTATTTGCATGAGTTTTTGTTTTGTTTTTTAACAACTTTATTGAGGTTATATCCACATATTATATAGTTTATCCATTTAAAGTGTTTGATTCAGTGGTTTTCTATTCACAGAATTGCACAGCCATCACCAAAATCAATTTTAAAACAAAATCAATTTTTTGAACCCTTTGGCAGTTACTTCAAAGGTCACTATTACCCCTACTACTAAATAAGTATGAATCTACTGTCGGTATGTGGTATGTGTATTTTTGCCTCTTCTGGACATTTACTTTAAGTGGAATCATGCAGTATATGCTATTTCTGTTACATAACATGTTAGATTCATAGTGCTGTAGCAGGTATTGGTGCTGCATTCCTTTTATGGATAGATTTTTTTTATTGTCTGAATATATCATATTTTGTTTTTCCAGTCATCAGTTGTTGAACATTTGTGTATTTCCACTTTTTAGCTGTTATTTATAAATCTGCTATGAACATTCTTATGAAGTGTTTTGTGTGAACATGTTTTCATTTTTGTGGATATATGACAATGAGTAAATTGCTGGCTCAAATGGTTACCAAAGGAGCTGCATCATTTTGCATTATTACCAGTAATATATAAGGATTCTAGTTTTTCCACATCCTTCTCAGTACTTACTGGATATGAGAAGGCTTAGGTGAAATCTTAAGAATACAATTCATGAATGCTACTTGTCCTGCTTAAATATTAAACTGTCAGGTTAGCTTACTAACTTTCCATTTCCAGGGGTTTTACAAGGAGTTGTGCATATTTTAAATATTTTGAGTTCAAGATTATATAAATTCCCCCTCAAATTCATTCCAGTTTTAAGTAATTCATGATACGAGATGGTTCATCTCATCTTTTTACCATAGGTTTGTCTTAACAATTGGTGAGACAGTAAGAAACCTGTGACAAAAAAATTTTTGCTTATGTAATAAATTATGATCTATATTGCCTGGAGAGTTTGTGGTGTTTTGGTATTTTGGGAACCTCCCAGCTAAATTGGGATTCTAGTGAAGAGCAGTTAGCAACCCTAACGGGAAATAAAGGGAGCTGAGTGTGCCTTTCACAGGAGACTTCTTTTGCCTGGTACACAGTCTAATGCCTCGTTGTCCAACCCCTGATCAAGGATTCCCTTACATGAGAAACTTGTTTATACTGGCAGATGCCATGTGGACTTTGACCCATGTCTAGTTTATGCCTACCTAAGCATTTGCTAGTTTTCAGAGCCCAGTCTTGTGTTCTCCTGGGCATTCTTGGGAAAACCTTGCTTGGGATAGCTCCTAGTTCTTTAGATGGAAGGCACAATTGGCTACCAAGGCAACATAAAAATCCACTCATCTTGGCATACTTTTTCCAATGGAATTTTTCACTAATTGAGTAACATAAATCACCAGGAAAAAAGGATTTGTACAAACAGAAATTTTCTTAATGGGTAAATTTTCAAGAGTAATGCCTCATACATAGTAGTCACTCAGTGGATATTGAATGAATGAGTACTCTTATCCCATATAGGGACAAGATTTCTATAAAGATCCTTGAATTTTGAAAGCAAATTACTGTTTTTCTTTTCAGTGTTTACTTTGTCTTTGTATATTCTGGAAATTAGAACTTACATTATTTTCCATATTGAAGTGTTAGAAATGTTGTCAATTCTTATGGTATTTTACCAAAAGCAAAACTTAGTAAAAACATCATCAAAATTAATCAAATGAAACTACTGTTTACACAGTTTTACTGCTGCTTTTGATTAATTATTTTATTTTAAAAGTAGATTTAAAGCAGTGTCTTAAAAATAAGTTTTAAAAACTCAGACTGAAGTCTTGTTTTATTCTAGATATGGTTAAAGCCACACGGCGTTTAGTCAATGGTAGTAGGTAACTTCTTTGTAGCAAAATAGGGTATCAAATTTTCTCAAATACACTGTGAAAATGTAATATTAACCAATTTTCAGAATTGAATTTTATAGCATGTATCAAGCACAATGAAACCAATTCTATTTCTTGATTTATTATTATGGCAGTATATTCCAAATTCAGAAGTAGAAATTTTAAAATGGTTTAGTTTCACTTTCTGATTAGATGACAGCTTAGATATCTTGGAAAACCCATTTGATTATCATACCCCTAAAGTGCTAGATAAAATACCTTTAAAGAAAGGAAAAAAAAATTCGACTTACTGCATAGATCAACGCATAGATCAGCTGGCAAGAATAAGGAAAATTCTTAGACTCAAAAGAGAAAATGGAAGTAAGAATCTAGAAACGTTTAC